AATTTTTTAATTGAAGATTGAGGGCATGATTTTTTTTTATTTGTTGTTTTCGTTTATGTTACTTTTTTATATACTATTATTGCACTTTTTTGGTTTTACGTTATTAGGGTTTTTTAATGTAGTTTTTGTGTTACAGGGGAAAAAAGGTTTTATTTATAAGAAAAATTTAGTTAAAGGTTACTCTTTTTTTTATTTAGGAATTTTTTTTAACTTTTTTTTTTTTTTTAAACTGCTCAGCTGGCCCTGGAGTGTGAGGCAGCCTTGTGAACCTCCCATGCCCTCAGCAGCGGCAGTGGCTGTGCCAAATTCCGGCAAATCACGGGAACAAAGGCAGGCAGCTCGCTGCTTTTGTCCCTGCCTGCTCCACTCACGCTCATGGATTGTTCCTCCTGCCCAATTTCATGGCTTGGTGGGGAAAAAGGGATGGGCAGAGCTGGGGCTGCAGTGAAAGGAAAGCACAAGAAGAGGGATTTTTTTTGGTGAGTATCACAGCCACGGGTTAACAGGGCTGTGAGAGTTTGCAGAGGACATTTCCGGGCAGTTTTCACACCTCTTTATCCTGCAAAAATCAGTGAGCCGAGACATTCTGCCCCAGGATGCCGAGAAGGGTAAAAGCCTGTAAAGCTTCATCGTGGGTGTGAATTCATGAAGTTTAAAAAAAAAACCAAAAAAAAACTATAAAATTTAATATTTCTAATACATGCCCGTGCTGGTCCTGTACTCCTCCAGCTGCCTCCACTCCTGGGTGCTGGACTCCATGGATTTTGGGCTGCCTTGGGAAGTTTTTGACACCAATTCTCTTGGAGGGAGAGTTCGTTCCTTTTGGGTGTGTGGCTGGTTCGGTGTTTCCTGGGGCCGAGGCTGTAAAAGAGCCTCAGGCTGGTCCTTGGAGGACCTTGCATGGCCTGAGGAGGCATCTGAGGTCATGAGAAGGAGCTGAGCTGCTGCTGTGCCGCAGATGAAGGGATTATTTCCCACTCCTGCATTAGGAGCTCGGTGGATTTAGTAATTTCTCCGCTGTGACGCTGCTTTTATCGCCCCTGCAGCCCTTCCTCCGCACATCCTTCCATCCTCCAGCCACCTGGAGACACCTCTGAGCCACCAGGCCGTGGTGTTCACCCCAGGAGCTCTGGGAAGGAGCGGGTGGAGATGGAGGGACACTCCCAGAGCGGGGTTGAAGGCTGGAGGGTGAGACAAAGCACAGAAAACACCCAGGGGAGGCTCTCCCCAGAAACCACTGGAGAAACGCGCGCAGAGGTGTGAACGGAGCGCCCAGAGGGATCATCTCAGTTAAATCTGCAGTGTCTGTCTGTCTGTCTCTCCTCGTTGCCCCGAGCTGCTCTGCTCTCCCCCATTCCGGGGGGAGCCCGGCTGTGTCACCCAGCCCCGCGGAGGAAGGAGCCCGGTCAAACCCGCCGTGCTCTTTTCCCTCCGAATTAACATCCCAGAGACTCCCCAGCCCTTAAAGGATCCTGCAGCACCTGGCCTCGTTATCCAGCGGGTGGGAAATCCTTGGAAAGGCAAGGAGCGGGTGAAGGGAAGAAGGAAAGGATGCTGACCACGACAAAAGCCTCACCGAGGTCTTTCCCCTCCATCAGGGCTCAAAAAGTGGAATTCCCATTGCTGGCCCGGGAGAGCGGCTCCTTGGGCAGAGCTCATCCCTGAAATGCGGGGAGCAGAGGGGAGGAGCCCCCCCAGCAGCTGGAGACCCCAATCCCTGCCTTGTCCCACCACCGGTGCCGTGGCAGCTCAGCGCTGCTCCCGCATCCCCGTCATTAGTCACGGCATGCCATTAATTAATTATCCCCAGCAACGGGGGCAGCCCTAATTACAGCCCCGCTTTGTCTGGGCTGGTGTCTCTGCCCTGGACGCGGAAACAAAAGGCGGCAGATCGGGACAAGCGATGCCACAAAGGAAGGAGCAGGGGAGGCAGAGAGGATGCTGCGTGCTCCTTGAGAGTTGGGATGCTCCCTGCAAATCCATCTTCCCCCCTCTCCAGCTCACGAGATTTGGCAGAAAGCGGCCGCTCCGAGGTTTCGCTTTGCCCGGGTGATGAAGGGCTAATTGGATGCAGATTAAAAGTCACTATTAGGGATAATCCCTGTGCGGGGAGCATCCCTCCCTCAGCTCCGGGACTCCGGGGCCCCTTTGTATTTCCCCCCCGAAAAACAAAACAAAACAAAAAAAAGAAAAAAAATTAGAGAATTAAGAAAAAGACAGTTGGAAGCGCAGGATGAGCTGGGGGAAGGGAGATGGGATGGGGGAAAGCTGGGAAGAAATAATTGCCATGTCTGAAAACAGTTACTATGGCAGCGACAGTCTTCGCGCCGCCTGAGCGAAATGTTGGGGACCAGCAGCGGTGCCTTTGTCACATCCTCAGACACACATTTAGATGCTAATGCTGCCTTTAACCTTGGCTGCTTAACCTTGATAGGAGGGGAAGGGCGGCCACGGGGGAGAAAAAGCAGCTAGAGGAGGCGGGGAGGGGGGGGGTATTACGGAAAAGATGGGTTTCCTCTCCCTAAATTTGCCACCGAATGGACTTGGCAGACTCCTCTGAGCTGCGATTAACGCTGTTATTTCTGCGCTTAATATTCCGCGGAGGTTTTACCAGCTTATTTATGGATAGCTGGCATTAGCAGCAGCATAATTCACCGCTGCCGCGCCGCTCCCAGTTTATCTCCATCCCCTCGGGATTGTCTCATCTGGGGCCGCTTTGGAGAACACCCCCAGCTCTGATCGGCCTGGCTATCAAATCTCGCCTTTATTTAGAACCGCCGTTAAAAAAAAAAAAAAAAAAAAAAAAAAAAAAAAAAAAAGAAAGAAGGAGGGTTGTGCAGGAGGGAAGAGTCCCCCTTAGACTTTGGGTGGCGGGGAAAGGAATTTTGGTGGCCTGCGGGGCTTTTTTTGAGGCTCCAAACTGTGTCCAGCAGCGGGATGGAGAGGGGGAATTCCCTGGCTGAAACAGCATCTCGTGCACTCCCGGCCCCGAGCAGGGGCTCACGGCCCGAAGGTAAATTGCTAAATCCCAGCCCTATTGCACACAGATGAGCCACTAATTCCAGGAGCAGCCCGGGATGCCCTCGCTTTGGGATTATCCTGAACTGCAGCCTTTAAGGAAGCTTTGGCTGGAGCGGTTCGGGCAGAGGAGATGAGAGCGGTGCCAGTGCCGGATCTGCCGCTCACAGATATGACCCTATTCTTCTGTTTCTGGCTTTTTTAAAAAAAATTATTCTTTAAAGCTCCGGCTCCTGGAGTCAGGTGATCGCTTACAGCTTTCTCCACGTGCTCTGGGAACCTCATTTCTTTGGCGTGGTGGCAGACTAAAGCCTGAGCTCACACCAGCTCAGAGATTAGTCTAGGGCAGCCCTGCTGCACAAAATATTTCCATTTTCCAGCCCATCCAGTGCCTGTGCCTCGGCTTTGGATGGGCAGTGGCTCCTCACTCGTGCCACGGAGTGTTTGTCCCACCTGCACTGTGGAGGGCACAGAGTTCCCTGCTCTTTTCCCTGCTTTTTTTTTTGTGGAAATCACCGCTGTCACCACTCGGTGATTTCCACAAAACTGTGCCCACTGTCACCTCTGAGGGCTGCGGGAGCAAGCTGCCTGTATTTTTAATGATGTCATGTGTTAATAGGGAACCTTATCTCCACACAAAGCCTCCACGTGCATCCTCGGGATGAAATATGAGTGTGAGGAATGATCCCACTCCAGCCCGACAAATCCTCACCGCACACGGAGGGGTGAAAGCATCCTAAATTAAAAGCAGTATCTGTCTTGTGCAGTGCTCTTCTTTCTCTGGGGCTTTGTGGCTGAGCTGTCACATAGAGTTGTTATTTATTTTACAAAGGCTGTAAAAGAGGCAATGGGTAATATTGTAGCACCCAGAGCAGAAATAAAGACCAGAGCTCCGGCTCAGGTGCTGGCAAAAAAGCTGGGACTGCCTGGAAGTGTCCAAGGTCAGGCTGGACGGGGCTTGGAGCCACCTGGGGTAGTGTAAGGTGTCCCTGCCCGTGGCAGGGGGGTGGAACTGGATCTTTAGTTGGAAGTAGATCTTTAGGGTCCCTCCTGTGAGTAACTGGGACAGAAGTTCCCTGGCTCGGCTATCCAGAGACCTCAGGAGCTTTATCAGGGAGAGGCACTCACAACGTTTACAAAATACCCAAAAGGTGTTAACAGCAGCGATCAGCATTCCCTGCCCTGGAACCAGCATAGGTGAGGTTTTCCCCTTATGGCATCTCAGGAGCTTTATCAGGGAGAGGCACTCACAACGTTTACAAAATACCCAAAAGGTGTTAACAGCAGCGATCAGCATTCCCTGCCCTGGAACCAGCATAGGTGAGGTTTTCCCCTTATGGCATCTCACCGTGACAGCTGCAGGGGACACAGCTGCTCCACATTGCTCTGCTGCTTTCCAGCTCGGATCATCACTGCTGCCCGGTGTCCCTGAAAAAAGCTGTTGTAGTTTTTGTGTTACAAAAACTGGTGCCAGCCCCTGGTGTCTCACGTGCAAGGAACAATCCCAGAATGATTTGGGGTGAAAAGGACCTGAAAAAAACATCTCATCCCATGGGCAGGGACACCTTCCACTCTCCCGGCTTGCTCCAAGCTCTGTCCAGCCTGGCCTTGGGCACTTCCAGGGGTGGAGCAGCCCCACCCTGGAGTGGGTTAAGGGTGGTTAAGTTTTTCAAGCGTGTTTTTTACTGCTTGCTGCGGTCGCTCACGACGACAAACACAAGGATAACCAAGCCTCCAGCACGGGGGCATGGCTGTCCCCGAGGAGCAGGAGCTCGGGCAGGGCCAGGTGAGCTCCGGCAGGGGCGGTGCAGGCAGGGGCGATCCGGGCAGGACACGGGGCGGAGCGGGAGGAAGGCGGCGGCGCAGCCCCTCCTCCTCCTCCTGCTGCTACTCTCCTCCTCTTTCTCTTCCTCCTCCTCTTTTCCCTCCTCCTCCTCCTGCCGGGCGGGGCGAGGGTCGGCAGTCCCGGCGCGCTGCCGCCGCGTGGAGCCGCGCTGCGTGTTCCCGATCCCATATCCCCTATCCCCGATCCTATATCCCTGATCCCATATCCCTGATCCTACATCCCTGGTCCGGGCTGGCTCCGCCGCCCCGAGCCGTGCCCCCGCTGCGGGCCGGCGGCGCGGCGATGGGCGCGGGGCTGTGAGCGCGGCCGGGAGCCGTGGCCATGGGGAACATCTCCTCCAACATCTCCGCCTTCCAGTCCCTGCACATCGTCATGCTGGGCCTGGACTCGGCGGGCAAGACCACGGTGCTCTACCGCCTCAAGTTCAACGAGTTCGTCAACACCGTGCCCACCATCGGCTTCAACACGGAGAAGATCCGGCTCAGCAACGGGACGGCCAAGGGCATCAGCTGCCACTTCTGGGACGTGGGCGGCCAGGAGAAGCTGCGCCCGCTCTGGAAGTCCTACAGCCGCTGCACCGATGGCATCATCTACGTGGTGGACTCAGTGGACGTGGACCGGCTGGAGGAAGCCAAGACGGAGCTGCACAAGGTGACCAAGTTCGCGGAGAACCAGGGCACGCCGCTGCTGGTCATCGCCAACAAGCAGGACCTGCCCAAATCGCTGCCGGTGGCCGAGATCGAGAAGCAGCTGGCCCTCCACGAGCTGACCCCTTCCACCACCTACCACATCCAGCCCGCCTGCGCCATCATCGGCGAGGGGCTGACGGAGGGCATGGACAAGCTCTACGAGATGATCCTCAAGCGCAGGAAGTCCCTCAAGCAGAAGAAGAAGCGGTAGAAGCCCCAGCCGAGGCGGGGAGGGATGGGGGAGCAGACAAAGGAACCGAGGGGGAGACAGAACCAAAGCGATTCTTTTGGGTTTAATCGTTCTTTTTTTTTTAAATTTTTTTTCTCCTCCCCTTCTTCATTTTTTCCCCCCCTTCCTTCCCCAAAGGACAGACAATAGTGGTGATAACAAAGCGGCTCCCGCCAGCCGAGCCCAGATCCCGGAGCTCCCCTCTCCCCTCTCCGCCCCGTGCTCCTGAGGGTCTGATCCGGACTCCCTTGGGCTGGAAACTCGGAAAACCGGGATGAATCCCCCCTCTGCATCTCCGGGACCACCACCGAGCCTTTGTGTGCCGGGGAACCAGCAGGGCAGGACCCTGTTGGAGCGCGTTCGAGCGGAGCCCAGCGTGCTTTTGGATCTCTAACGGGGGATTTGGGGGTGTCGATGGCAGCCCCCCACGTGCATTTTGGGGACGGGGGGTGAGGATGAAGCGTGGCTAGGCAAGGTCAGCGGGGAGGGGGCTTGCAGCCCTCATCCCTGCGTCCCCGCATCCCTGGATCCATCCCTGGGAAGGGGTGTTGAAAGCTTGGACGGGTGGGGGGGTTGGACCAGCAGAAAATGTCTTGAAGGGGTGGGTGTGATGGGTAAGGGGACACCCACCCACCCTGGTTGGTGTTTTAGGGTGCAGAGCAAGGACGGGCAGCCTTTGGCTTGAGGGGGAGGATGCGACACTGGGGTGCCGAGCAGCTGCTGAATGGTGCAGAGCGCTGTTGGCTCAAAAAAAAAGGGTGGAAAAAGGACCCGAGGGTTTGGGGTGAACGCTGCTGGGAGCGTTGGGGGGGTTGTGCAGGACCCCCGTTTCTCAGAGGCTCGGCGGTGTCACCTTCTGCAGCAAAGCCCCCGCAGGTGTGCATTGTCCCCATGCCCAGGGTGCTCCCAGGTGCGGCTTTGGAGGGGATCCAAACCAGGGGTTACTTGTAAATCCCCCCAAAAAAGGCAGAGTTCGGGGTTCTGCCCACTGTGCTGCTCTGCAGTGGGGCAGGAGGCCAAGTCAGGGAGGGTCATGGCAGGGCAGGATGGATGGATGGACGGACGGACACGGCCAGAGCCTGCAAAAAAATCTTTGCTTGAAAGGGAAGATGGCAGGGGGGTGTAGAGGCATGAGGGGGTTGTGGTAGGTTTCTGATAAAAATTCAAACCCGATTAAAAGCCCCTTGCTTCCCCCAGCAGCCACAGGGGCAAGCTGTGCCTGCAGAGCAGCCGGACAGGGCCGGGCCCCTCCTGCAGGTGAACATTTCATACCTGCACGGGGCTGGGCACCAAAATCCACTTGCTGCCTGTGTTTCAGGGTCCTGGCTTCCCACAGAGCTGAAGCAGGCAGCCCTCAGGGGCCAAATATGCTGAAATTTGGAGGCAGGCAGGATTTTCTGGTGATTTTACACCAGCCCTTCCCAGAGCAGCCAAGGGGAAAGCACCAAGCAGACAAAAGCCCTTCGGGTTTAGGGGGGTTGATCCTCCCCTTGCAGCGACGAGCACCTTCCAAACAGCATTTTTGGGGGGCGGGAGGGGGGGGTTGTTAGGGAACAAATGTTGCAGCAGGAGTTGTTTCTTCTCCTCTTGTGGGATTTGAGTTCCCGATGTGTGTGGGCTGGTCCCATCCCTTCAGGTGGCTCTCTTCCCGCTCCCTCGGGTTTCCCTGCTTTGTCTTCACCTCCAACACTTTGGTACTTGCTGTCGAGAGAGAGAGAGAGAAAAAAAAAGAAAATAATTATTTATTTTTGATGCCACAGAAGCCACATGTATTAACTCATTTCTGGCAGAAATGTAGAAGCTGTGTTGACCCCAGCAGCTCCAGGGCAAGCAGGTTGTAGGAATGACACGTGCAGGCTGTTGGTGGTGGGCTTTTTTACCTCCTCGTTTAGCAGATGGAAAAGCTGGCTTTTTATGGAGCTGGCTCCTTCCTGGGAGCCTGTGTTCCACCCATCCAGCTGAGCATCCCCTTGGAGACATGGCAGAGGGCTGGGAGGCTCGGGGGGGACGCCGTGCCCGTGCCCTTGCCAGCCACTCTGCTTTCTGCAATAATTAAAAAGACTTTTCCAACGAGCAGCTCCTGGCTTCCGTGGTGTTTCCATAATGTTCCACCCCCTTTCCCCACCCCGTGTGAAGGTGAGCATCACCCTCGGTGGGCTGCAGGAACTGGGGCCCCAGCAGGGCAGCCCCCAAGGGGAACTGCCTGGGCTCTTTGCAAGGCCGTGCATCCTCTCAGATTCTGGATGACCTGGGTTTTTTGGCAGGTCTCAGTCCCCCAGGTCCATTATTCCCTGTGTTCCCATCCATGATATCCCATGTCCTGCCCTTGCCATTGTCCATCAGTCTCTTGTCTTCCCTTTCTTTCTTTTTTTTTTTTTTTTAAAGATGCAGACATAATGCTGTGAACTGAAATAAATTATTTATACAATGAAAGGGCCTGATAAAAAAAAAAAAAAACACAACAAAAAAAAAAACAACCAAAACCCAGTGTTCTGCTCATTTCTCAGTATCAGTGCTGTGTTTGGTGTGGTTTGAAGGAGGTTCCTGTGCCTCCCCGAGGAGAGGAGACAAGGGGACAGAGAAGTGACCTGCTGAGGATCCAGTGTCACGTGGCAGCCTGCTAGGACATGGGGGACATCCATAATTTGCTGGTTAATGAAATCTGAGCTCTTTGGCAGGTCACTTAATGTCCCTGCATCTCTGCTGTGAGAGAGGAGGAGGAGGAGGATACTTTTTGGTGGGGAGGGGGGATTTTGCTCCACCACCTCCTCTGATGTGAAATCCACGTTAGAGAGACGTGGATTTTAAAACCATACAGAGAGAAAGTTCCCATTTTTGCTCAGCGTGGCTTTTTTTGAACGGGTGGTGGCCTTGGTGGCAGAGAGCCAGGTCTGCAGGGGTTAAAGCAGCACTTGGGAACAGGATGCTGCAGACAGAGCTCGAGGCTGCCTCTGCTCCTGGGTGGCTGCTGACACAGGAAACCCAGGGTGACATTTCGGGAGGGGAGCGGTGGAGCTGGGTGGCAAATGACTTTCTTTTTTATTTATTTATTTTTTTAATTTTTTTTTTTTTAATTTTTTTAAATGATGACGAGGCAGCCAGAGGGGAAATGATGAGCCTGACTTGTGAAAGTGAGATTGGGAAGTGCTTAGGGTGTTCTCACCCTGCCTGAGGTTTGTGGGGTGCTCAGTGCCTGGGTGAGGGGGCGTGGTGTCTGCTCTGCAGAATCAGCACTGGGGGCTCTCAGGGGTGACAGCAGCCCAGGGCACGGTGGAGCTGTGTCAGGACATGTTTAGGCTGGATTTTAGGAAAAGGTTCTTCCCCCAGAGGGTGCTGAGCACTGCCCAGGCTCCCCAGGGAATGGGGAGGCTGCCAGAGCCCAAGGAACATTTGAACAATGGTCCCAGGGATGCACAGGGTGGGATTGTTGGGGTGTCTGGGACAGGGGTTGGACTCTGATCCCTGTGGGTCCCTTCCAGCTCTGGAGATTCCCTGGTTCTCTGAACCCAAAGGCTCACCCAGTGCTGCAGCTGCTGAGCTGCTGTCCAGGCTCAGAAACCCCCTTGGAGCTGAGCTGGACCGTGGCACTCCAGGATTTTGAGTTGTGCATTGCTCAGCTGCCCCCTGCCCTGCAGAGAGCCTCTGGAAGGTGCAATGCTCCCCATGGGCTCCCTCCTCACTCATGATGGGCTCCTGTCCCTCTGCCACAAGTCCAATGCTCCTGAAGATGCTCCTGCCCATCCTCCTGTCCCATTTTCCCTGGGACACCGTGTGCTCCTCCTGCTTTCATGGATCTGAAAGCCCAGCAGCGCCCACAACTTCCTTAGTCTGAAGGGACCTGTCCTCACTGATCCCACCTGGCAGAAGCTGATTTTTGGGGGTTTTCCAGCTGATTTTTGGGCATTTTCCAGCCGGCCTGGAGGTGTGGACACTGACATTGTGTCCCTGGGCTTATCTGTGAGCCAGGGGGGCTGGACTTTGGTCCCTTGGGCATCACGTGGAGCTGGGGGAGCCTTTCCTCCTGGTTTAAAGGGGGAAAATAAAATGGTTTAGTAGTAATAAAATAAAAACAGTAATATAATTAATAAAAATTTGGACAATTAGGATTCAGGACAATACGAGACAATAAGAACAAAGAGTTATGGACAGTCTGGGTACCTTTTCTGGGCAAAATAAGCCCGAAAAAGGACCCACGTTAACAGAGGATTAACCCTTAAAAGCAACAGCCTGTTGCATATTCATACACCTCATCCATGATGCATAAATTCCATTTAAACACAGGATTCTGTCTGGGCAGTGTCAACTTCTTCCTCTGAATCCTGACAGCATCTTCAGGACTGAGCAAGGTGGGAAGAAGTTCATTTCTTCTGATAATGGAGCAATAAATTCTCTTTCTCTGAAAGATCCGGGTGTCCTGTGGCTGCTATCTTGGTGCAAGCCCTTTCTTTAAAAAAAAGTATCCTACATAGCATAGTTTCTATTTTAACCTTATGTTATAACCTAAAACTACATTTAACACACTACTTAAGAAAATTAATACAGCAGAGCTTTCTAACATAACACACATCATATTCATTTGAATATTTGCCAAAAGCCAATCATAAAATAGGCATTTTTCACAGACATAAAGCAGCGAGGGAGCAGTTGGGCAGTGGGCTGTGTCAGCTGAGAAGGAGCTGGGACATTCCAAGAGGATGGATCAGGGCTGGGAGCGGCAGGAGATGGGGTCAGGACAGCAGTGAGCAGAAATGAGGCTCCCGTGTGTCCCGTGTGGATCCTCCTCTCTGCAGGGCTCCAGGGATGGCTGCTGAGTGCTCTCTGAGTGTCCCCTGGGTGTATCCCACTTTTCCAAGCAGGTATCTCCTCCTTCCTCCTCCTCCTTCCCAGAATCTCCTCCACCCTGGGACCCTCTCTGCTGCAGGTTCTTGCCCTGTACTGTGCCAGCCCCACAGCTCCTTCTGCCTCTCCTCCCTGGCTTTGCCTCGTTAAGCCAAATCCCTCTGCTTTATTTCAAATGGGATTTGCTCCCCAAGCAAGGATCTTTAAAAGGATCATCCTGGTTAATGCAATCCGGAGGGCACTGGATACTTGGAGCGTGGAGCAGGGCACTGGCAGCTACTGCACAGCACCAGGTGCTTCTGGCCAAATTTTGGGGGTGGCTGAGGAAGACCACCTGTGACGGTGTTCACAGGGGTTCTTGGATTGGGGAAGAGATGAGAATGTTGACTCCATGTTTCAGAAGGCTTGATTTATTATTTTATTATACATGTTACATTAAAACTATACTAAAAGAATAGAAGAAAAGGTTTCATCAGAAGGCTAGCTAAGAATGGAATGGGACAGAATGATAACAAAGGCTTGTGGCTCGGGCTCTATGTCTAAGCCAGCTCACTGTGATTGGCCATTAATTACAAACATCCACACGAGACCAATCACAGATGCACCTGTTGCATTCCACAGCAGCAGATAATCATTGTTTACATTTTGCTCCTGAGGCTTCTCAGCTTCTCAGGAGGAAAAA